ACCTGCTGCCAGTGCTACCTGCTGCTAACCCTATCTGCTGCTAACCCTATCAGTGCTAATGCTACCTGCTGCCAGTGCTACCTGCTGCTAACCCTATCTGCTGCTAACCCTATCAGTGCTAATGCTACCTGCTGCCAGTGCTACCTGCTGCTTCCCCTACCTGCTGCTAACCCTATCTGCTGCTAACCCTATCAGTGCTAATGCTACCTGCTGCCAGTGCTACCTGCTGCTGACTCTTATCTGCTGCTAACTCTATTGAGTGCTAATGCTACCTGCTGCTGACTCTATCTGCTGCTAACTCTATCGAGTGCTAATGCTACCTGCTGCTGACTCTATCTGCTGCTAACTCTATCGAGTGCTAATGNTCAGCAGTAGGTAGCATTAGCAGTAGGTGCTTCCATGGCTCTGGGTTAGGCTTAGATGGGGCTCCTCACCCTGAGAGGACGTGGGCGTGGTGAGGCCGGTACTATCCGGAGGGAAGCGAGTGTTGTTGATCAGCAGGTCAAACTTGGTGCTGCGGCATGTGTTGGTACACAGGGTGCTGTGCTGATAGAAGTCTAGTTGACCTGAATCCATCATCTTCCTGCAGAGCAGAAACAGAACATTCTCTGCTCAGAGCCACAGCTGAGCGGGTCAGCAGCCTGAATCAATGAGGTCCAAACTGAAGGGACCAGAAGACTGACCTCAGCATGACTCCTCCCATCCTGATAGCTCTCTTCCAGTCCTTCAGAGTGGCCTTTCCAGATAGATGCACAAACTGCTTTGGGCTGATCAGCTGGTCTTCATACTGCAGGAGACAGTTAATGGACCCAGGTCAGCTTTAAACACAGAAACACATCAAATCAAGGCAGTAATGATCTGGTTAGAGGATTAAATGACTGATTATTGCTAATCAAACATGCAGTAATTAGTGACAGAAAGGAATCAATATAAGAAGAGAAACAGGAAATGTTCATCTAGATGAGTGCAAGTAGGTAGTAGTGAAAAAGAAGCTGATTAGTCAGTCACTTCATTTGGATGAGATTACACTGATTTCAGATAATAAAGTAAAAAATGTTGGTGTTATTTTTGATCAGGACCTGTCATTTAAATATTAATAATAATACAAATTAATTGTAATGCACTTTACATTTTTTTTTTTAAATCTCAAAGTGCTACAGGTAAAATCATCATAGAAGGGTAAAATGTAAAACTAAACATCGCTTTAAAACACTTATGAATAAACTCAATAGCATAATTGTAAAATGTTTGTAATCCCTTTTTTAAATAGTCTGTGGTTCCCTCAGATGATCAGGGGGGCGTTCCCGGTGCGAGGAGCGGCAGAGCAGAAGGCACCATGGTGCTTAGATCAGTCCTGGAGAAGAGGAGGTGGTGTGAGGGTTTGGAGCGTGTTGTAGTGAGGGGGGGGGGCAGTTCCATAGATGCCCTGGTGGGTGAGAACTGAGACCTTGTATTCAATCCTTGCAGAAACAGGAAGCCAGTGAATGGAGAGATGTGGTCGTACTTTCAGACTCTCATCAGGATCCTTGCAGCATCGTTCTGAATCAACTGTAGTTTCTGCAGACTCTTGTTCCCGATGAGGATGTGTTACAGTAGTTCAGCCTGGAGGAGACTAAGGCATGGAGCAGTTTTTCTGCATCAGCCAAGGTGAGAGTAGAACGCAGTTTAGAAATAATATTTAGATGATAAAATGAGATTTCCCAGAGGTGTTTGATGTGGAATTCAAAGGTTAGTTGTGGATGAAATCTTAGACTGAGATTGGTGACTGAGAGGGGAATCACCTGGCCAGCAATGGTTATACTGGTAATGGAGGATGACTGGACTTGGTGTGATGCGCCAACAAGGATTAAATCCCAGATCAAAGAGGTTTCTAGAATTTCCTTCTTTCATCTGAGGAATATTGCTAAAATGAGCAATCTCCTGTCCAGGGGTGATGCTGAGAAACTAGTCCATGCA